CAATTCTACTTTTCCTGCAGTGTAGATGCATAATTGGTTCTCAACCTTTGGGCATACTGAACTGACCATATCGAATGTGTTCAGTAGGCCATGCCTGGGCTGGGAACACACATATCTGTACAGTCAGTCACTGGAGATGTGTATTTGACTCCAAATTTGGAAACCAGAAGTGGCAAAACCCCATAACCAAAATGCACCCGTTTTATCCCCAGTTATGGCAGCAGCGTAACTATCAGGGTCTGCTCCCTGGATAGTAGGAGCCAGAGCAAGGGCCAGGGCCAGCTGCAGCAGCTGCTGTTCTTGTACTCACGCCTCATTAAGCTACTGGGTTAAGGAACACACTCTGGGGGGAAGGAAACTGGGGGAGACAGGTTCTAGGACCCTGTTGCTCAGAGAGTGTTTGAAAATGCATTTCTCTGATTTCCCAGCAGTGTCTAGCTACCGTATCACAGAGCCCCTCTCTCGTACTCTTTTTGAAGCTGGCCACTGAGGCAGCCAGGAGCATGAGAGCAAGCCAAAAGATGTGTGGCTCAGTGAAATGGCTGGTAGCCTAAAGCCTTGCTCCTTGTGGGGCAGAAGTTTCCTCACTGCACTACCTCTATCCAACCATATTTTCCAATGACTATTAATGCAAATGGCCCAGCCATATGTGGCTGCATATGTGCCTGGCCAGTATTCCTATCATGCATGCTCATGCAAGATTATTACCATCCATTCCAGACCACACAACTAAAACATTATATGAAGGAAAAATTTTTTCAAAGCTCAAACTATTTTTAGGCCCCATTACAAGGAAAAAGGGTAAGTCCCATTTAAGAGGGATAAAATAGACTGGGAGGCCAGGTTCATAGAGGGATATAAAGAAATGGCCTCAGCAGCATGGGACAGAAGCACTCCACCAATAAGACAGAGAATAAACACAAGCAAATTATCAGGATGGCTTATATACACTAAAGAAAGTTGCTGAGGGAGCTTTAAGAGCCCTTATACCAGGAGACTCTGAGAGGTCTCAGCTCTGAGAGGTGCTACACTGAGCCAGGGGGCATCTCCCCCCAGAGTCCTGCTCACTGATAGAACATCAAGGTGTGGCAAGTGAAGTGCAGAAGCTGGGAGTGAGAAGAGGGCCTGCTTGGCACGGAGGCCATGAGGCTGGTACTGTGCCTGGAGAAGGGAGCAGTGGTTACAAACTCACTTTGAACATTTAAACTTGTTTGACTTTTATTGGCCAGAAGTCAGAGTTCATAGGACCAGGGAATTAAAAAAAAATGCTTTTATCTAGATGTTAATATGGTTGGAGTTGTAATAGTACCTAGTTCATCCAAAGGACAAATGATTAACGAGTAGCATAATGCTTGATTTTTTCAAGTCCGCACACTTTTCAATAGTGAAAGAATGACTTCTTTTTGGAGAAAAAAATTCAACTACATTATGCTTCAAGGTGTCTGCTCTGTATGACACTTTCAGAACATCTGAAAATCCATAAATAAGACCAGGGATTTTCAACCTTTTTTAACAAGTGTACCCCACCTGTCTCAAAGTTTCAGCTCATGTAGCCCTTTATATTTTTTTTCTTGTTTTCAAGGGGTGGGGGGAAGATTGAGGCCCCCACAGCGAGGGAGGGAGTGGGGCTAGGGTAGGGGCAGGTGCTGCACAGCTGGGGTGGGGTGCAGGACGGATCTGCGAGTGGCTTGTCTAGGGGTGCAGGGAGGGGGCAGGGAACTGCTGCTATGCACACCCCAGGAGGGCATGTGTCCCTGGATCTGCATGTGGGGCAAAGGCAGGCTGCTGCAGAGGGAGTGGGGGGCAGATCCAGACCTCAGCAGAGGGGGAAGGAGTGGGGCTGGGGGCAGGGGCTGCCCAGCCAGGCGGGGCATGGGACTGAGCTGCATGGGAGGCAGGGAATGGTTCCCACTGCTATGTTCACCCTCAAGAGGGCATGGGGGGGTGTGCCCCCAGATCTGCACATGGGGTATGGGCAGGCTGCCACTCTGGGCTGTGGCTGGGGTGGCGCCAGGCTCTTCCCAGCAGACCAAGGTCACACTTGGGGTAGGAGAGGCTAGACTGGGGCTGTGCTTGAGGCAAGTGGCGATGGTGCTGAGAAGGAAGGCTGAGGGGGTCTATGGTGGATTCTGGAGTGGCTGCAGCCCACCCTGTAGCCCCATTGCCACAGGCCCCCACAGTGAGGGAGGCAGTGGGGCTGGGGCAGGCACTGCGTAGCTGGAGCAGAGCGCAGGACAGAGCCGTGAGCAGTTTGTCTGGGGGGAGGTGGCTTCCGCTGCTACATGCACCCCAGGAGGGCATGGGGGGACATGTGCCCCTGGATCTGTGCGTGGGATGGGGTTGGCTGGGGCTGCACCAGGCTCCATCTGGTGGGGGCTGGGCCAGGCTGCGCTATGACAGTGCACGCGCACACATGCACAGCAATTATTGGCCACATCAGTTCTGCGTACCTCCAACAAGCCTTTTAAGTACCCCTAGGAGTATGCGTATCCCCCCAGTTGACAACCACTGAATTAGACCAGGAGCTTAAATCCCCTCTCTCATTTACAACCAAGTTACTTTTTTGTCCTAAAGAAATAAGCTAACAGGACTAACAAACAAAATCAGATATCTCTTCATGTGTAGGGTTAGTTTTAAGCAACTAAGTTGTTCCTGCATTTGGTGGAGATAGTACCACCACAAATTTAAAAAGCACCACAAATTCAGCTGCCCTATTATAGAGGATGTCAGCATTTCATTTGTTGTTATTGATTTCTTTAGTTTTAGGCCACTTTACTTTACATGCTTCAACACATTTGAGCACATAAGGCAAGGAACCACCCCTGCCCCACAAAATCTATCTTGGATAACACTCTCTAGGGTTGTTTTGTTCCTTAATAAGCTGTTTTAAACTCTCTCTGTATATGAAAAACTTCATTATTTCTTGTATCTCTTTGGGATAGAAAGGGCCAGGTCCTCAGCTGAAGGAAAGTGTCATAGCTCCACAGATTTGCAAGAGTTCAGGATCTGGCACAAGATGAAAGAAAGGTACTAAAAAAGTACTTAAGTGCCAGTAGCAACCAACAATATTACAACTGAAGCATCTGTCTAGGAAGACAGGAGACATTTTGTTATTTCTGGCAAGAACATAGGTTGACATCTTGGCTCTACTGAAATCAGTGGGAGTTTTGCCATTGACTTCAGCAGACTCAGGATTTCATCCTTGCAAAAATGTAACAGTCAACTGGGTTGCACACAAGGAATCATGATGGGACGGGTGGGGCGGTGGTTGTCAAAAATATGGCATGCAGGCCAGAACCAGCCTGTGGAGCAGGGAATTCAGCCTAGAGGTTTTTCTCGTGCTGGTGTCAACAGCAAAGGAGTTAATGCAGCCACTGCTTAACTTCTGTCACCACAGCTGCCAGAGCCACTGTTTCAGTGTGGCAGCTCAAGCAGCAGTAGCAATGGGGGCTACTCTGGCAGCACAGTGAGAAGACTTGCAGGCCAGATCTGGAGGTGGGTCATTTGGCCCACAGGCCAAATAAGTTTGACACTACTGAAGTAAAAAAACATCTCAACATGCCCTTAAGAATTTAACAGTTTCAGATAAGACGAAAGTAATGAACCTGAAAAAGTGTAATTCTTTATTACTGCTTGGTCCCCCAAAGTTTGCAAGCAGCACAAAAGACTGTTCCCTTTCAAAACTATGCATTTTTGTTTCTGATTTTATGTGTTTGTCTCCCCTCCAGTTAGCTAAATCAATGTCATCTCATAAGTAAAAGGGAAATGAAAAAATATTTCTTTGCTACCTTTTGTAAGTTAAATTAAGCAAAATCTAATGTATGAGAAGTTTTCCTGTTTCTTGCTTTTGTAAAGCAGTCTAATTAAACAGTACAAATTCTAACTGGATACATTTAGTGGGAAAAAGGGATAGAATTATTACCAATGTTCCCTGTGTTCAAGCTGACCAGACAAGATTATCATAATACATTGTAGATTAGTACATGATGACTCAAAGACTTTGGTGTGTTTTACCAGCAAAGAATGTCTTTAAGAAGTGATCTGTTCAGTCTCTCTGCTGAATGTTGTCACTCATTACTTTAAAAGCACATCCTGAATACTGATCCATGCTGACAATGGAGGAAGTTCCTCACATATATTTTGATCCAGGCATGGGCTTTCATGCTAATAGAAATACGAGAAAAGTATGTAAGGTACAGGACTTCCCTCTATTTTTCCCTTCCCTTTTTAAATAGAACAACGTGTAATTTTGTTTTCATGAGATTGTGACTACTGATCTAGAATCCTAAGCGTCTGTAAGCAAGAGAGGGAGGTAGGGTGATGCTATATAAAATTACTGACTTAAGAGTTCAGAAAATAAAGGGAAAACTAAAACATCTCTACATACAAAGGTATATGAAAGAAGATACCATAATTAAAAATGGCTCAAGTATGCTAGCATACAGTTCATATTTATTTCATCAACTTCTCGACAATGTTTACACACAGAACATCCATGAAATCTCACTAGCTCATTTCTAAGTAATCCAAATTTGTTGCTTAAATTTTATTACCTGAAGTCGCATGCCTGCTTAATGTGATGAATGAAATAGTTCACTTGGTGATCAGAGAGAGGTAAAGCTGTTTTTTGGATTCAGATATAGCATAGATAAGCCCACATAAAAGATGGTGACCAGTAAGAAAGGTAGAACAGAAGAGTTAAGAAAAAAGTAAGTAAATATTAATGAAAAATTAGAGAAAATTAAGTTGGGCAAGAACAACACTAGCGCCATTTACTTCCTTCTTCCTCCACTCAACAGTATTTTCCAGATATGTTAATAACATTAGTACATGCTCTTATTGAATGCCACACCATGTTCAACAATGCCTGTCTTCCCTGAAAGGAATCCTATGAAAACACAATCAAATGTCCTTTTTCAGCAGTCCTTGGGCCTTGCACAATGCACAATACAGAAATGCAATACAGGATTATGACTTGGTTCTGACATTAAAAACTGTACCTGAGCTGCAGAAATAGTGTTTGGTATGACTGGTGATGGTGAGTCACTTGGTTTTGGCTCACCAGGGGAAGCTGCTGAACCCTGCGATTCCTGGCTGGCAGGCTGATCTGGCGATAAAGCATCACTGCTGTCTTCATCAAATGAGTAATCTTCAAGAGCCTGGGGATAATTCTCTTGCCCAACAGCTAGGAGGTTTACAAAAGACAAGAACTTTTTTTTAGTTTCAGAAGTCAAGACTTGAACAGTGAGAGAAGCATAGATCACTGGAAATCATTCAGTGGCACATATATAAACAAGTTTTTAGTGGGGGGGTTAATACAAAGAAATAACATTAGATTTATATTATAATGTGTATTTCTTTATATTAAAGAAAACCATCTTATGTGACATAAGGGACCAATAAAATTGGATACATAATGGATCCAGACTATAATAAAATAATATAAAAGAGACAGATTACATATTTTGAGGGCTATACATAGTCTCATAAGATAGAAATTGACTAAAGTACAGGTGTCAAAGATCTAGCTTGGGGGGTTCCTGGAGATGCCAGGAATTTGGGGCAGAGTCCATTGCCCAGTTCCAGAATTCAGAGACTCAATGGGTCTGGTTTTGGTGGCAATGAGGCCAGAAGCAGCTGCGTTAATCCCTACAGCTCCCTGAGTCAACACAGTGGCTCAGGCACTCACAGAGGTTAATCTGCTGCCACTCACCCCACCAGAAGTAAGTCCAGACCCCGTGGTACAGATCCAGCCTGGTGGGTGCAAGTTTGAAACCCATAGACTAAATAAAGGTACCACATGTGTTGCTTCAGTTAATTTTTTATTATGTGGACTAATTAAGAAAAAAGTTGCTCACACACTGCATTATACTTTTCAATCAACTCTATAATTAAACTAGGTTTTGAACAAAAATAACAATCTCTTTGTTCGACTTAATGCTGACATGGATTAATTACTTAAGAATCTGACATAATATGGAGTCTATTAACTGTATGTTCACTTTTCTTTTACTAAACTTCAAATTTAAGGTTTAAATAGCTATTTCCCATATTGCCTTATTGCTAACAGGCCCAAACTGAAGCTCTTTTACTTGCCTATAATTGCTTCTTTAACACTAGAGTCTACAGGAAGGATGTTCTTTTCCACCAATTCCATAGGACCAGGCCTCTGTGCAATCTTCTCATTCAGGTCATCTGCCAGTCGAGCTCTCTTCAGTTTCATCTGAGTTGCCTGTAGTGAGGGCTCTGCAAACGTCTCTAAAAGAGATATGTTGTTTAAATGCATTCTCTTCACACAGTCTTCCATTTCATGACCTCAGATTTCACCTGAAGTCCTCCTACACTAGTACAGTGCTCCGATATTTAGGCTGAAAACTTTGCAGCATAATACTTATTTTGACTGAACACAACCCGATAAAATATTTTCTACCTGTAGAGATGGTTTTTATGGTTATTAAAACAAAATAAAGGAAGTACCATTTTAAAAAATTTAACATTTGAAACAAATTTGACTTGAAAAGTTCCTTTAAGTATTTTGACCCTGATTCACCTTCTAGCACCAGAGTAGCCCTACAGAAGTGAGGTTAAAACTATGCAGTTGTTTAGGGATTTAGCTGAAAAAGGACCTTTTGTTACAAAGACCAAATTTATAATGTTAGACTTCTGTATCAATATGTAGGTTCAGGTCAAAAGTAAAACCAAGTCATGGATATGTTAAAGAATGCAGACCCCCTTTTTTTTTTTTTTTTTTTAAAGTT